TATAGCGAAGCTAGCAGCAGCAACAGTGGCAGTGGCAGCAGCGGCAGTGGTGGAAGCGAGCAGTAACATGGCAGCAGTGATGAGCGCTTGGGGGTGCACACACCAGGTCGGCCCCAGGCAGGATGGGACAGACCAATCCCAATAGGTGCCGGTACATGTCATGCATCGGGGGTTTCATCCGTAGGAGTAAGCAGTAGGCACGAACTCTGCAAGTGGTGGTGAGACTTCTTGGCGAGCACTTGCTGTATGGGGGGTGACACGAACGCTGTTTTAGAGGACGATGGTTGGGATGAATGCATCAGGCTGTCAGGCTGGCTGGTTGGCGTTGTGAGTCCAAAGCACCTTGGTCCACAAGCATACTGAGACTTGGGCTACTTTGACAAGGGGTTCACGTCCATCTTGAGGCTTGCCGCAGTATTCACCAATCGTTAATTTAACATGCAGTAAGCGTCACATTGCAGAGTAATATCTGCCCGTGTAACCCGTGATAACAGGGTCTTCACCCGTAATTGTACGTGTAATTGGTTACATGTGCCCGTAATTCACCTGCAGCACTGCGTAATATCCACCCGTAATCACTGGGTATTCACCCATAATTGTGCGGGTAATCGGCTACATGCGCCCGTAATTCACCTGCAGCACCGCGTAATATCCACCCGTAATCACTGGGTATTCACCCATAATTGTGCGGGTAATTGGCTACATGCACCCGTAATTCACCTGCAGCACCGCGTAATATCCACCCGTAATCACTGGATATTCACCCGTAATTGTGCGTGTAATTGGTTACATGCGCCCGTAATTCACCTGCAGCACCGCGTAATATGCACCCGTAATCACTGGGTATTCACCCATAATTGTGCGTGTAATTGGTTACATGCGCCCGTAATTCACCTGCAGCACCGCGTAATATGCACCCGTAATCACTGGGTATTCACCCATAATTGTGCGTGTAATTGGTTACATGCGCCCGTAATTCACCTGCAGCACCACGTAATAGCA